GAGACGCAGAGTCTGACTGGCAGCCACCAGGGTATGAAATGTCTCCTTCCTCCTTGTCCCCAGCTGCCCCGCGAGGTTCTCATGGGAACATTTATTCAGACCCCCCCTCCCCCAGCAGTGGACTTGGGGCTTCTGTCTCAGCTCCCTCTTCCTTGGGTCCTTGAACCTCTTCCATTCATTCATTCATTCATTCATTCATAAAACACTGAGTAAAGTTGATCTGAAGCCTGCCATTTCTGGTGCTGACAGCGCCCCCCACCAAGGGTGCCCGAGCCTGGCAGGGTCCAGAGTCTCTGTGTCTGCTCCACCCCCAGACCTGTCTCCCCAAGGACAGCACCTGAGAGGTCTCTGAGGGAGGAGGGGCGGGGAGGAAGGGCGCCTCAAGGATCCGCTGGGCTGGCGCATGCACTTAGCTTACTCTGTGCCACGCGGTGCGGTGTCTGTGGGTGGAGGGTCGGGCCTGGAGGAGACGGCTTTGGGGGTGTGGATGCAGAAGTGAACAAGGTGAGGTGGAGACAGACGTAGGTGGGCCCTGCTGCTGGGGGGCGCGTGACAACTGCACGAATAGAGGTTGGGTGCTCAGGAGAGGGGGCTTGAAGGACGGAGAAGGGCACCCAGAAGGGAGTGGAGGGCTGGGAGGGGTCTTCTATTTTGGCTGGGGGGCAGCTGGGGAGGCAGGAGGCAGGGGCCAGGGCCAGGTGTGAAGGGACTTGGGTATCACACGGTGCAGGCTGCTCGGTCTGTGCTCAGTGCCATGTCCCAGGTGTCCCTTGGGTAAATCACTCCCCCGCCCCCCCCAGGCATCAGCTCCCTCACCTGTAAAGTGGGGTTGATAATAAGACTGACCTCACAGGGTTGTTGTGAGGATTAAATGAGGAAATGAGCATTCAATTAACAGTTATTATAAGTAGTGTTATTAGGCGGTTCAGGGATGATGATGAAAGTGTCTTATTCCTTCATTTATTCAACAAGAAGTGACAGTTACTACTCTGCTGGGCACTGTGCCTGGTAATGGAGACAGCAACCAACTAACAAAGAGACAAACCCCGCACAGTCTCCCACGCCTCCGGGAGTAACAGATGCGGATGCAGGGGTGATCATTCCCCGTGGGAAGTGCTCTCTCAGGGATGGGAAGGCCTCCCAGATGTCACATAGTTTCCAAGGAGACAGCAGGAGCCAGGTCAGGGCGATCTGGGCAGAGGGGACCCCTGAGCAGAGGGGACCATGGCGCATGGTGGGCGGGCCCGGGGAGTGGCTGGGCCGCAGGGCTTAGGGCCTCTGGCTGCCTCAGGAGGGTGCTCAGGGCCGGGAGCCGTGATGGTTTTCAGCAGGGGAGGGATGTGGCCGGAGTTGGTGTGGAATGGAGGGCGGCTTCCCTCCCGAGAAGAGATCTAGGATCTCACCCAGGCGTTCACTTGCAAGGCAGGCCAGTGTTGGGGCTGCCAGCCCATTGCACAGGACAAAAACTGAGGCCCAGTCCCACCTAAGGCACAGAGAGGACCTCCACGGTGCGGAAGGGAGGATCTCCATGAGAGTAGGGCCTGGCAGGCAGCATCTTGAAGTAGCTCCTGGCGCTGCGGGTCCTGCCTCTGAGGGGGGCGGGCTCTGCTGCCATGTTCATTCTCTCTTCCTCCAATCCAGGCACCTTTAAGCTCCCTGGAGGGCAGACACCATGTGGTTTCATTTGTGTGCCCTTCATCTCTCCCAGAGCCAAATACAACTTCCCGGGCCTTTGAAAGTCGCAGAAAATCTGTTACCCAAGCCCAGATGGTGATTAGAGACAGAGATGGGGGTAGGGGGAGAGGCTGGAGGAAGAACTGTAGTGTCTTGCGGGCCTTTACAGTTTTTACGCTGCTTCCAGGATGTCTTCATTCAACAAACATTTATTGAGTGCCTACTGAGTACCCGGACCTATGTACCAGGTAGAGTGTTGGCGACACAGGGGGAATAAAAGCCCCCCTTCCTAAGAACACTGCTGGGGAGACTGGAAGAAGTGGCCGAGACAAGGTGCTTTGTCTCATTTGGTCTGGGAACAAGCCTTTGTCTTGGGGGCTTCTGCTGGTGCCCCCTCACCCCCTTCACAGCATCACAGACCAGGAGGCTGAGGGTTAGGAGGTCACATTGCTTGCTAAGGGTCATGCTCTTAGGCAGTGGCAAAGCTAGGGGAGTTAGGGACCCAGCTGAGGGGAGAAGGAAGTAGCCTGGCCAGGGGGTGGCAAAAGGGGGCTGAAGCTCATACACAGCCACCTCCCCTCTGTCCAGTCCATCCAACCTTGGGGCACCTCCCTTCCGGGGTTCCCAGCTTACTGTACCTGGACTCTGCCTGGAGAGGCTAGGGGTCGGAGGGCTAGGGGAGGGGCGTGCTTGCCCTCTCCCTTGTCTGTGAGGCCTGCCCTTCACCCAGCGCAGACTCCGCCAGTCCTCCCCACCAGCCTGGAGGAGCAGAGCCCCGGCCGGGGCCTGGGAGGACGTGCTGCCTGCTCCAGCCTCTGACCACTGCATCGGGCAGTCAGGCTGCAGTTTTCAGCCATAGAAGGGCAACGACTTGGGCGGTGCACCCAGGAGGCTGCCAGCAAGAAGGCTGGGCTGCCTCCACCGGTTTCAGCCACTCTAGCAGCCTGGAGCCGGGAGGGGGCGAGGGGGATAAATAAAGCCGGCAGGCTGGCCAGCTGTCCCCTCCAGGGTCCCCCAGGCCGGCCCTGCTGCCTCTCACCTGTCTCAGCTTAGACACTGGGAAAGCCTTCGCCGCTCCCCCGGGAGACGGGGCCCCGGAGTGGCCCAGCAGGGCAGCCAGCCGGCCAGTGCCTGCCAGCCGCTCTGGAGGCTGTTCTGTTTCCAGTCCGGTTCAGACTTGTTCTGGTCCTGGCCCTGTTAAGAAGCAGCCATCCTCGGGCTGGGTTGGGATTCAGCATGTTGGTGTGGCTTCTCCAGGTTTGAGACGTGCAGTACGAGGACCAGGAATGTGGGTTCCCGGGGCTGGCTGGCTTCCCCTCTGCGGGCCTCAGTGTTCTCATCTGAAACGGGGTAAACGCCAGCCAGGCAGAGTTGAAAACAATGTAAATTCAAGACAGGAGCTCCGCACAGCACTGGCGCGAGGTCCTCGACCCACGGATGTCCCTGTTTTTACAAGTATTTGTCCTGGGCTGGCCAGGATGTGGCTTCCGGGGAGGGCATCCTGATTCGCAGTGAGGTCAGGGATCATCAACCTGGAAGCTTGCACTTGAGCCCTACCCCTTCGAGTGATCTGCATCCTCCGCGTGGGTGCCAGGAGCTCAGCCTGTGCCCCCACCGGAAGGCCCAGTCCACCAGGCATGTGCTGTTGCCTCAGGTTCCTCCTGGCCAGTCCACAGACCCCTCCCCTTGGGATGAGGTCACCCCGCCTGCCCCTTCCTTTGTCCAGTCACCTCGTCAGTGCTCCTCCTCCCCTTTGCCTCTTGCAGAGATTTTGATTCACTTTCCAAGGATAATGTCTTCGAGAATAACCGTTTGGTGAGTCCTCAGACAGATGAAAGCACAGGAGGCTGTGGGGCTGGGCTGGGCTGGGGCTGGGGTGGGGGTGGGTAAGGGTCTTGCAGGGCAGGAGCTGTGGGAGGGGCTGCCTTGCACTGGGGCCCTGGCTGCTCCATTCCCCACCCCTGCTTCCCTCTGGCCCGCTTGTCCCTGGAGCACCAGGCCATCATGTGGGTTCAGAGCTGAGGGGAGCCCATGCCCACCCCTGCCCTGGTACCCCTCATCCCACTGACGGGCGCCCCCTAACCCTGCCTCCTCCCCCCACCCCTGCACCTGTTCCCACCCAGGCCTTTGAAGTGGCCGAGAAGGAGCTGGGCATCCCTGCTCTACTGGACCCCAATGACATGGTCTCCATGAGGGTCCCCGACTGCCTCAGCATCATGACCTACGTGTCCCAGTATTACAACCACTTCGCCAGCCATGGCCAAGGTGAGAGGGGGCAGCCCTTCAGGGAGACTGGCAGGGCCTGCGGCTGGGGCTGCTGCTGGGGCTGGGGCTGGGGCTGGGGACGGGTGGTAGTTTTCTGCGCTGCAAACAGGCAGCTGGGGAGGCAGCCCATCATCCATTCACTGGATCGTCCGTTCACTCATTGAAATGCCCTTTGCTGGGTGAAACAGCATGTGCTGGGGTATAGCTGTGACCAGGTCGCTGCCCCCCGGAGCGCCCAGTCTGGTGGCGGGGACAGATAACAAACACAGCGACCCATAACTGAGCAAAATCATATGAGAGGAGACAAAGCGGGTGGGGGGGCTTCCCGCTGTCTGAGTTCACCTCTCTGCACCCACCGCACTTCCTGTTAGCAGACACTTCCCTGGGGTTTTTCCTCCAGCAGGGAAGTGACCCTGTGGGCTGTTGTGCAGCATCTTCCCCAGAAGTGACCTTCAGGGCCTGAGAACTGGGAGGCTGGGGAGTTGGGGGTTCCCCGGGGTACAGGGGTACTTCTCTGCTCTGAGTCAGGTCACCGCGGCGGCGACAGAGCCTCCTGCCTGGAAAATCCCCATGCAGGAATCTCCTGGGGCAACTGGCCCAGAGAGGGGAAGCCAGGAGCCCAAGGTCACACAGCAGGAAAGCAGAGAGGCTGGGTGGAGAATACAGGTGTCCGGACTCCTGCTCTGGGTCACTTCTGGGTCCTGAGTCGGGGGGGCGGGGGTAGGGAGGGGGCGCCTTGGCCCTCCCCTGCCCGCTTTCAGCCCTGCCTCTTGTCCGCTGTATATGTGGACAACCCCAGCCCATCGTTAAAGAAGTGTCTGTAAAGTCAGGTCTTTTTTTCCTTTTTAAAAGTAAAGCATGTTTACTGTAGACAAGTCAGGACACAGAAAAGGACATCAAAATTAAAATAATCTGTTACTCCCCTTCCCGAGATATTGCTAGGGATTAATATTATACTTGAACAAATAGCATGGTATGTATTTTAGTAGAAATCAAATTAAAAAGATTTCTTCACCACTGAGTCGTTGGTGAGAGGCAAATAGGGTGGAAATTAAGAGCGTGGACTCAAAACGTTTTATCTGCCATTTACTCTGGGTGACAGTGGGCCACCACGGTCACCCCTCTGCCTCAGTTTCCCCTGGCGATGGGGGTAAGAATAGCACCCACCTCGCAGGGTTGATGTGAGGAGTAAACGAGGAAACGTAAATCAAGGTTAGTGTCATTATGACGTCTTTGTTCCGTTGGTTAGAATTTAGCTTACTTACCTAGAATCACAATTTGGTCCTGTGTTCTGGAAGGTTTCCTGTCAAAACCCCCAGGCTCGCTCTACTGAGCTCTTCTTCTGGGGAGCTGTGGGGTGGGTGGGGGGCCGTCGATCCTACTGTTGGTGGTCCTGGGTCCTCACCGGGCATCCTGGGGTGAGGGCGCCCCGGTGGCCCAGCTCCCTGAGCTGTGCCTGGGCCTGCGGGGATGCTTGTTGCTAAAAGCACAGCTTGTACTTTTCATATAACTTGGCCCCTAAATGCAAACCATTTTTATCCCACCTGCTGCTCAACCAGAGGAAACCCAGCGATGTGTGCCAACCCTGGAGGCAAAGCTGGCTGTCAGACTCCCCTAGATGGGCCCGTGCTGTACTTTCTGGTCGAATGTGTGTGTGTGGGGGGGATTTCAACGGTGCTTTTGACTGGACTGGACTCTCACCGGGCTGGGCAACCTTGAACCCGGCCCTGGCTGAGACACTGAGGTGCGGTGCTGAGTGCTCAGCTTGTGCCAGGCTCTGTGGGTGCCAGTGACCCTGGGCACATCAGCTGCCCCCTGACCTCCAGGAGCCACAGCCTGGTCTGGAGCCAGCGTATGAGTCCAGGACGCCCAGCGTCTGGGAAGTCGGAGGAGGGGTTCCAGCCCACAGGGTGGCAAAGGCAGGTCATCAGGAGAAAGTCCAGCTTCTCAGTGGCCCTGAGGTCCTCCCCACAGTTAGCCTGAGCCACTCGCTGCCCCAGTCTCTTGTGCTTCTTGAACACCTCACATTCTTTTTGTTTTTTAATGTTTTTATTGACTCATGAGAGAGAGAGAAGGGGAGAGGGATAGAGAGAGAAACATCATCGATCGGCTGCCTCCTGCACACCGAGCCTGAAACTGGGGCATGTGCCCTGACCGGGAATGGAACCCGTGACCTTCTGGCTCACGGGTCATCACCAGCCCTGAGCCACACCACAGTCTTTCTTCGTGGTGACCCTCTGGCCCCAAACCCCATTGTCTGTCCCATTTCTTCCACCCCCAGCACGTGCTTTCCGACTGATCCTCTAATCTTCACATTCTGCCTCTAAGCAGCCTGCCCGGCTTTACCTACTCCAGGTGCTCGTGTCGCCCCTGCCCCTGTTCAACACAAGACTGTGGCCACAATATCACGATGACTCCTCTCTCTCCCCTGCAGACCGTCTCTATTCACAGCCGGATAGCTCCAGCACTTATTCGTGTAACAGATATCTATGGAGCGCCTACTGTGTGCCAGGCACTGTGCTAGGGAGAGAGCTGAGAATGAACCAGACTCAGAGCTTGCAGTCTAATGGATGAGGGGCGGGTGAGAGGGGAGAGAGAGAGAGGTAATAAGTGACATAATGTCAGGGGAGTCCAGTAAGGAAACAAAGTAAGGTAATGGGATGAAAGCGATGGGAATAGGAAGTGGTCAGGGAGGCCCTCTCGGAGGAGGTGACATTTGAGCTAAGCCTTGAACAAGGAGGAGGAGGAGGCCATGTGAAGCTCTGGGGAGGAATGTTCCAGGCAGGAGGGCAGCAGGCTTCCAAAATGTTTTGCCACGATTCATGGTAAGAAATACAGTTCCCATCACAGTCTGAGTTCATGCACACATATGTAACTGAAACAAGTTTCAGGAAATGATTCTTCCCCTTGCACATGTGATGCACACAGATACTTTCTATTCTGTTTCATCTTTTTTGTTGTTGTTGTTGTTGTTGTTGTTAATCTTCACCAGAGGATATTTTTCCATTGATTTTTAGGGAGAGTGGAAGAGAGAGGGAAAGACAGAGAGAAACATCGATGTGAGAGAAACACACACCCATTGGTTGCCTCCTGCATGCACCCTGACCAGGGCCGGGGAGGAGCCTGCAACCGAGGTACGTGCCCTTGACTGGAATCGAACCCCGGACCCTTCGGTCCACAGGCCAATGCTCGATCCACTGAGCCAAACTGGCTAGGGTTTTTTTTATATATACTTTTATTGATTTCAGAGAAGAGAGGGAGAGAGATATAGAAACATCAATGATGAGAGAGAATCATCGATCGGCTGCCTCCCACATGCCTCACACTGGAGATCAAGCCCGAAATCCAGGGAATCGAACCCTGACCTTCTGGTCCATAGGTCGACGCTCATTGAGCCACACCAGCCAGGCTGTTTCATCTTTGAAATGTGCTAGTTGCAGTCCACAGAATTGATTTCAGGGTCCATTAATGGACGGTGACCTGAAGTTTGGTCATTTTAGACCACAGTAAGGAGCTTGGGTCTTATTTTTTAAATTGTCATACAGTAAAATGGACTTTTTAATACAGTTCTCTGAATTGGGGGTGTTTATGTCAATCCCTGGGTACAAAGTGGGTGCTTAGTGAATATTTGCTGAAGGAATGAAGGAGGAGGATGTTGGAGGAGGCTGGGTGGGGTGGGTGGGTTTCTCTGGTGTGAGGGACAGCAGGCAGGTTCTGGGCCGCGGCTGCCCGCGGGGGGCGTCGGTAGGGCAGCTCCTTGCTGGCCCCAGGGAGCCAGCCCTGTTCCCGATCTTTGCCAGCACCCGATCTTTGCCAGCACCATGCGGTTTCCTTCTTTTCCTTCCCTCCAGCCCCAGTGCCCCGGGGAGGGGGAGGAAGCTCCCCGTCCTGCCATGGGCTGGGCACTGTTAGTTCTGTGATTGTGCGGTTGCCTCTGCTCACGGCCCCTGGGCGAGCAGCTTGCATTTGGGGCTTAGCTTGGACGTGGAGGTGTCCGCTGGTCGGTGTGAAGGGGGAGCCTGCTCTGGTCCCACTGCACTGGGACCGAAGGTGATGTCTGCGGAGCTCAAACCTTTGGCCAGGTTGCGGCCGCCTGGAAGCCCAGCGTCTCCACCTGCCTCAGGTCTGTTTTCCGTCCCTTTGCAGCCGGTGTCTCACCACCCGGAAAGGGCCCGTCACCCTCCTCCCCGCCATCCACTCCAGTGGAACCAGAAGAGAGGGCTCAGGTAGGCAGAGGCCTGGGTGGGCGGGTGGGGCGGGGGAGAAGGTCGGTGGGCAGGGACAGCGAGCATTGCAGTGTTCAGAGGACACTTGGACCTTTCCCACTGGCTTTGGGAGTGGAGTCTCACAGGCAAGGCCTGGGAGGGGGCACAGGGCAGCCCACAGCACTGACTGCCACGTTGGGCCTGACGGGATTTAATACACTCGCCTGGCGGGACAGCTTTTCAGCTCCCTGATGGTTCTGTTTAACCCTCTAACAACCCTGGAGGTGGCTATTATGTGTCCTGATATACAGATGAGAAAACTGAGGCTCAGATAGGCTTGCTCAAGGTCACAGAGCTTAGAAGGAGAGAAACTGGGAGTTAAGTCTGCTGGGGCTCTAGGAGGGAGGCAGGGAAGACGGGCGAGGGCAGTCACCCCGGGGCCAGCCTGCAGGGTAGGAGCCGCTCTCTGGGCTGTAGTTTCCTTGCACCCTGTCCCCTTCCAGGGCTCTGACGAAGCACGTTAGCACTCGGCAGGTGTCCCCAGTACACGTGGGGGGCAGCGGCCATTAGAGGGACTAGGATGGCTGGTGACCGTGCCCCCACCCCCAATCTGCCCGCCCTGTTCCCCGCAGGCCGAGGAGCTCGCCTCAGGTCACCTGTCGGAGCAGAGCACCCACCGGACCCCCAGCAGCGTGTGCGCAGCCTGCGGGCAGCACGTGCACCTGGTGCAGCGGTACCTGGCCGAGGGCAAGCTGTACCACCGGCACTGCTTCCGGTGAGTGGCGGGGCCTGGCCGGGCCTCGACCCCAGCACCCCAGTAGCAGGGAGGGAACTTCCGTGGTTCAGCACCACCGTGGGGGGCACCTTGGTGGGCTCTCCTTATGGAGCATCCTGCTTGTCTCCATTTCCTGGGGAGCAACTAAGGCCTCCGAGGGGAGACCTGCTCATCGGGTCATTAGAGGCCGGAGCGGGCTGGAGCCCAGGGTTCTGCCCCGGGCGGCGCTCTTGGAGGTGAACCGCCCATGGTGTTTTACGACAGTGGTCGGCAAACCGCGGCTCGCGAGCCACATGCGGCTCTTTGGCCCCTTGAGTGTGGCTCTTCCACAAAATACCACGTGCGGGTGCGCACGTACAGTGCGATTGAAACTTCGTGGCCCATGCGCAGAAGTCGGTTTTCGGAAAGGAGATAGACGAAACAAGTTTACAAGACGAGTGTGGATGGGAGAGTTGGAAGGGGTCGACCTCAGCGAACGTACCTCAATCAGATGGAGGACGTTTTTAGCAAAGGCCAGTTTAGGAGCACCCTAATTAAGTTAATAACAATGTACCTACCTATATAGTTTAAGTTAAAAAAAATGTGGCTCTCAAAAGAAATTTCAGTCGTTGTACTGTTGATATTTGGCTCTGTTGACTGATGAGTTTGCCGACCTCTGTTTTAGGAGCACAATCTGCTTTAAGGCCAGTGGGGAGAAAGGGTTTTAAAATATCACAATAACAACTTGCTTTCTGTGTACGGCTCCCAGTGGAAGCCAGGTTTAAAGAGAATGGAATAAGAGGCAAGGAAAATACAAATAATTTAGAAAATATATGATACAAGAGAGAAATCAGAAAAGGAAATTGAAGAGTCAAGGGAGCTGGTGATTGACAGTTGCCGAATGCTCTGTGTGTGTGTAAGATGGGTATGCGGTGTGTGTGTGGTGTGTGTGTGTGTGTGTGTCTGTGTGTGGTGTATGTGTGTGTGGTGTGTGTGTGTCTGTGTGGTGTGGGTGTGATATGTGTGTAGTGTGATATGTGGGTGTGTGGTGTGTGTGTGGTGTGTGATATGTGTGTGTGTGGTGTCTGTGTGTCTGTGGGTGTGTGTAGTGTGTGTGTGTGGTGTCTGTGTGGGTGTTTGTGGTGTGTGTTTGTGGTATGGTGTGTGTGTGTGGACTTGTTTTAAGGAATTGGCTCACACGGGTGTGGGGCTGGTGAGTGTGAAACGCGGAGGGAGGCCTGTGAGCAGCTGGACTGTGCTCAGCCCTGAAGCTGAACACTCTCCTCTCCTGGGAGCCTCAGGTTTCTCCGGTGAGGCCTTCATCGGCTGATTGGATAAGGCGCCCATATTATTGAGGGTGATGCGTCTTAAAGCCAGCTGTTGCAGATGTTAACCACATCCACAAATAAACCTTCCCAGGGTTGGTGCCATTATGGGGCTCAGCCCATCTGGTTTTCCAGATGGCCTAATCCTATATAGTAAAAGGGTAATATGCAAATTGACCCTAACAGCAGAACGACTGGCAATGACTGGTCACTATGACACACACTGACCACCAGGGGGCAGACGCTCAATGCAGGAGCTGCCCCCGGTGGTCAGTGCACTCCCCCAGGGGGAGCTGTGCTCAGCCATAATGTGGTGTGTGTGGTGTGTGTGTGTGTGTGGTGTGTGTGTGTGTGTGTGTGTATGGTGTGTGTGGCGGCTGCACCTGGAACCTGGGACCTGACTCCAGGACTGAGGGTCATGGGGGGAACACTTGGGGAGCCATCACACCCATGTCAGGGCGGTTTTTATAAACTTTTTACAGCGTTCCCCCCCCACCCCCGCCCAGTAAGAAATCCACTTGACATTGTGACCAGGTGTGAACACATACCTGAAGTAAAGCTTGTATAAGTAGAGGCACAACTGGAATAAGAGTCAAGTGCGACCCGCTCTGACATGTATTCGGTGCCGTTTTCTTCTATCCATAAAACAACAAAACGAACAGCCTGCTGGCTGAGAACCGCCCAGTCCGTCCTGAGCCGGAATGGCGGCCGCGCTCACTGGACGGTCCCTCTGGGGGAAACGTTGCTTCCTCTTGCAGCACGAACTGAATGTGTTTCACAATTTCTGTTGCTGATTTCACGTGGTTTTATTGTTCTGCTGCGATCCTGACAGTTACCATTTTCCTTTTCCTCTGGGAAGTCCAGGGCATTGAGACAGGATCCGGCAGGCATTTGGGGGGAGGGGGAGGGAAGGGCCTTGGTGCTGGAGGAGGGGCGGCCGCACGCTGGGCCGGGCTCCCTGGTCCAGTTCAACACCCATCCCCTTCTCCCTGCAGGTGTCGGCAGTGCTCCAGCACCCTCATCCCCGGGGCCTACCGGGCTGGGCCTGAGGAGGGCACCTTCGTGTGTGCGGAGCACTGTCCCAGGCTGGGCCCAGGTGGGCGGGGGGCCAAGCCCCGGTCCCCACCACAGCCAAAGCGACAGCCAGAAGAAGGAAAGGAAGCTGCAGAAGAAGCCAAGGATGTGGAGGGAGGCGGCCCCAGCCCTAGGGCAGCTGCAGGGGCTGAGGCCCGGCCCCAGATCCCCACCAAGCCCTGCATTCTGGACAAACCACAGGATCTGGCCAGCCCCCAGGCCGGCCGCCCCATGCCCGCCCCCAGGAAGACCTTGGAGAGCACAGCCCCGGCGCCCT